AATTCTGAGCGGAAATAGCAACTACTCACCTGTTATTTTCAGAAAGCAAACCCAGCAAATCATGGGCACAAACCTAAGCAGGAAATCGTTCGCGGAAGCAGAAACTGGTCGAGCCATCGTGGGGTGGTTTCTCGCAGTTTTTTTATAGCATCCGAATGCAGAACAGCAGATGCATATACCATCAAAACGTCTTCAATGCTTGCCGTTGTGGGCCACCTAACCCATTAAGGCTACCTTGGAAGCGCTATTAAAAAAAAAAAAAAAAAACAAAAAAGAAAAGGGAAAAAGGATAGAACTCATATTCACAAGCAAGTTTCGTTATCTAACTTTTGCCATTATCAAAACTGATGTCATTTTTAGGTACTCCCATGGAAGAAGATAAACGAGAGCAGAATCTGCGGACTCAGACCTAAATTAAATGATTGAGGATGATTTTGAGGTGGCAAGGTTGAGTGAGGAGACTGGGAATTGGGCGAATGTGGATGATTTTGATTGCCCAATTGGTGTTTGTTGCCAGAGAATGAGAGGGTTGAGAAAGGTTTATGTTGCCAAATTGAAGGCAATTAAAGTGAGAGCAATCGGTTTTCTTGAGTTGTTTTTAGTTCAGGTAGTGTTTGTGCTCATATATGATACTAATGTTTGCTGGACATAATTCATGTTTTTGGCTTCATTTGCTTGGAATGGAAATAGTAGTACAAACAAGCATTTGTTCTTGTCATTTGTGTTGTGTTGTTATTTCTTAGCTCTTTAATGAATGGGTTTATTTATGTATGTCCAATGTTTTTGATTAGATGATGTGCGTGGGTGATCATCTGCTTATTAAACCCGTGCTGAATTGAAAATGGAATGATGATTTCATGATTTTTTTTTTTTTTATATGATGACCCATTCTTTATAGATCTACTTTCAATAATCTTGTTTATGTGGGCATCACCATCTTGCTTATAATATTTCATGATTGAAAAATATGGCCATAAACTATGGGCCATCTTAAAGAAGTTAAGGATATTATGGATATCTGTTTATGTACTAGAATTAAGAAGTATCCTGCGGTACTATTTTGCATTTAAAGCCACGACCTATTATATGATGTTTAAAACTTTTGTTTATTGATCTTTAAGTAAGTGCAATGTTTTTGTTTTCCTAATATTTGGAAGCCTTTCCTAATATCTGTTCTGCAAGCCTTTTTTGCCACTTTGCTACCTAGGTTATTGGTTATATTAGCTAAAGTGTGATCATTCACATGGTATGTCGTGTGATTTTGCATAACAGACTGGTCATGAGTTTGTTGGCTTTATTGTTCGCCACAGTAATGCATATAGATGAGGGATTTTACTAATCTTACTAAGAGCATTCCAACTAAAAAATTGAATGTTTTAAAATGCATGATGGCTTCATATAATCTATAATCAAATGAGGATTTTTTCAGAATTTAACATAAATAACCATTATTGCAGGGACTTCTCCCACATTGCTCTTGTCCACTACCGCAAAGTCATGGTTAGACTTTTTGATTTATCCTATCACTCTTTTCTCTTCCTTTTTCTTCTTCTTCTTTTTTATTTTTTATTTTTATTTTTATTTTCTGTTAGCCATCTTTGATATAAACTTATGAATTTTATTTTCTAGTCCTAAGGAGATCCTTGGCTGATGGGTTTACAACTTTCTAGGTTAAACTGAAATGGAATTTATTTTTAGCCAATTTAAGAGCACTGTTTTGAGTCTAGGTAGACTGATCAATAAAATTAGCATAGCCAAATGCTGTCATGTTTCTCATGAAACATTGACGTGCCACATAATTTGCTTATTCTTTTATGTAATGAACTGGTACTTTACAAGTTCATGGATTGATTATGTTCATTTTCCCTTTATTTTTCCATTGATTTAAAATTTTATTATTTTTTTCCTTCTGGGAATTGATTTTGATTTTGATTTTTGTTTCTGGTATTGTCTGTCACTGTAATTCATGGCTGCAAGATGTATATATATTCACATTCTGTTTGTGGTGAAATACGTAGTATATCATGTCATAGTGTCATCCTCATTCACCCTTTTCATTTGGAAATATTTATAAGAGTATGCAGATATTGTAGTTAGTGATGTAGTATCAGGAGGCCAATGTATGGTCTTAAGCTCTAGTATCCTTAACTTAATAAAGCCTTATCCTACTTGGGTGTGTGAGCTAGTTATTCCTTGATTCCAACCAGGTATGTCCTTAACTCCCTTTTTCTTAGTCGTGGCTTTAGGACTTTCAATTCTTCAAACAATGAACATGTCCCATTTCTGTCTCCTTATATATATATTTTTTCTTTACTCCTTTCATTGTCAATGCTTGTTGTTGAGTTGTCCTTCAAGAGAACAATTGTTTTCATTAGGGTAATAAAATTCTGGTGTATTTTATTTTCTGATTTAACCTGGTTATGGTTCTTGGCACTCTGACCTTGCCTTTCCTTTCTCCAAAGGTTTGAATCTAACTTTTAGTTTCTTCCTCTCTTTTTTCATTTTTTTTGTCTGGGTGAAACGCTCATGTGAGAGGTCACCAAGTCAGGAAACACCATAGGAAAATAATCTGGTGTCTAGGAATTTTGGAGAAAGGGATCTTGCTTTGGAGAAGAAAAAGAAGTGGTTTGAGTGGATTTAAGTCAGAAGCAGTTACTGCAGCTCCCTATAAGCATCAAAATTCCTCAAAAGATGATGACTATAATTTTCTGAAAGAAGGCAGGAAACAAGCAGAAAACAGGATAAAAAAGGAGCTCGCTAAGGTTAAGTCTATGGTTCAGTATCCAGAAGGCAGAGAGCAATATCGCAGACTGCTGAATGTTGTCACTGAGATCCAAGAGAAAAAGGTAACTGAATGTTTTCTTTCTCTAATTTTTCATTTTTAGTTTTTCAAAAAAGATTTCACAGAATCTTTTACACAATCCTAAATTGGAAAGTTATACATAGACATGTTTTAATTTTGCATACACATCTTATGAAATTATGGCTAGCAAGATCAGTTTATATGATGGATCTGCCAGCTACAGAAGGAATTAAGAGCATTGGAAAAGCTGAGGTTGCATTTTACACGTTTTACTTGTTCGAGGAGTTACCTTTTTTGATATATGGAAAAATATCTCTAGTTTTTTCTTTGTACAATAGCCAAATAGGGTTAAATGGTTTTGACCTGTTGAAATGTAGGCTTTTTTGTTTTTTTTTTTAAATACAGGATTGTATGAACTTGTTTCTTCTAACTGACTTTGCAGGTCAGTACGCCGGGTCCAATTGATTTTGATGAAGATCTGATAGATGTTGAAGCATTAATAGAGTATGACACTTTCATGGCTATTGCAACTTGAGACATCTTTAAAACCTCAGATAATAAAATAAACTTACCAGAGATTTTAGAAATGCCAGCCAATCGCTGGTGCGAACGCATGCATGTCTCTTCAAAAGCACATGTGAGTCGCTAACCTCAAGTTCCTTCCAGGATTGTTCTACTGCTGTGATTGTCTCTATAAACGCTCAAATGACACCAAAGCAGGGGCACAACCAAATTACATGCTGAAATGTTCAATAAATAACCGTATTACTCATAGATGAGAAAACCTTAAGTCATGGGCCATTTTGTGGATAAGGGAAGTTCAGGTATTTCAGGTTTGAACTCAGCTTCCACCTCAAATCAAGGTTTCTAGTGGGTACAACTTTGTTGAGGTCCTATAAGTTGTATATCCTCTAATTGTAAGAAGTGATGAAGTGTGAAAACTGTTTTCTTCTTCCTCTCATCCATGTCTCTTGCTTTCCTAGCTATACCTCTAATCTTATCTCAAATCTTCTAAATATCTGTTCCTCTTCAGCGGTACCATTTCTTGTTCACCACTTAAATATAGATGGTGTATCTTCTTGTAATCTACAGAAAACAGTATTTTCAATTGCATAAATTGTTATATTTTCTATGTTTAAAAAAAATGAAAAAGGAAAAAGGAAAAAAGAAGCATAACTGGTGTAAATTAACATTTGTTGTCTCTGCAACTCCAATTGCTAATAGAGTATATCAATTGAAAGTGAGTTAGATGAGTTATGAATAGAAACAACGCTTATTTCTCCTTTTATAGACCCATAATTTGAACTTGAAGTGAGTCTAAATGAATTTAAACTTAGACTGATGACCATTATTGGCCAAATGTCCAAAGTTTTTTTTTTCTTAAAAAAAAAATTATTGTGCTGAAATAAATTATTACACAAAAATAATAATGTAATTTGTCATTTTAAATTTTTATTTTTTAAAAAATTGACTTAAATTTAATAGTTATTATTAAACTTTATTAAATTACTCTTAAAATCTAACAAAAAGTTAACAATAATGGTTAAATATGAGTCAAATATTTAAAATTTAAAATTCAAAATAACAAATTAGACTAATATTTTTTTTAAGTACGGACTTATTTTAACATGGTAATTTTTAAGGGGAAATTTATCCCCCTTGTCTTCGTTATTTCAGGCGCATGTTTTGTAGGAACGCGTAAATGTAAAAACCAAAGGTTGGGTCGTTGAAAATTTTTAATTCTTATTGATTAAAATTTTAATTTAGTCATTCAATTTTTGCATGGAGCCTAGTTTTAGTCTCTAAAAAAAATTATTTTTCTGGCCCTTTTTGTCCCTCCGTTAAGTGATCTCCGAACAGAACTACCTTATTTTTCCCTTTACAAAAGATGTGGAAAATCTACGTGTAAAAGTGTTGATGTTGGGTAAATTTTGGGTCCATTTTGTTTAGCCTTGAAAATTATGGGTCCCTCCCTTTCATTAAATTAGAATTGATGAATTAAATAAAAAATAATGATGCAACGGACGAAAACGCGGGATGAAAATGGAGACGACAGGTTAAGTAAGGGAGCAAATTAATAATTACATCATATATATGAATTTTGCATAAGTCCTTTATTTTCGTCTCGTGTTTTTGTCCACTGCATCATTACTTTTAAATAAATACCGCGCAGGCACGCATGGCGCAGACACCTTTCCTTTCACGTCCGTGCGGCAACATTGCACGTCTTTTCTTTATAAAAAAATTTATTGACAACGATTTTTATAATGAATTTTTATAACACGACAAATTTTTATTAATTTTTTTAATTTAGTAGGGTAATGAATTTGGATAAGGTAATTATATGCATATAATATTTTTTATAATTTTTATTCATAAATTTTATATATTTTTAAATATATAATATCATAAATTATAATAAAATAAAAAATTAATCATTACATAAAATATAAAATTATATAAAAAAATTACCTCTCAATAATTTTTCTTTCATTTAAATAAAATATGTGATATTTTATAAATATTTTAATTTAATTATAATATCGTATAAAATTATATATTTAATTATAATATATCATCAAATAAGTATATATAATATTATAAATAAATTTTTAAATAACAAAATCAATCATATAATAAATTTATAACTACATAGATTATTGTAATTATATTTTTTTATATCATTTGAATAAGATTTTTGTAAATTTTTATTATCGAAATAATAACAAAAAAAAAAAAATTACCGCGCAAGTGTAATCCACGTCAAAATTGCCTTTTTCCCTGCGCGGTGATCTTAAATCGCCTTACAAAAGTCAACTCTCTTTCTCTCTCTGAATAGCCCACGACCTTTTGCTAGCATTGATTTCAGCTGGGAAGTAGTAGAAGCAGGTCGAGATAATGGATGAGAACGTTGAGGCTGGGCCATCTGTTCACGACAATCCATTAGGTAAATGATATTGAGGTTCTATTTTCGTTTCTTCTTGTATTTACCATTTTCAATGCCTTCTAGAATGGTTTTAGATACATTTTGAAGGAATCTGTAACATTGGATTGTGGATGAACTTTATTTAAAAAAAGATTATAGATAGGACTAATTAGGGGCTAATGAAATGAGCTTAGTTATAGTCTTCTATTTAAGAAATGTTCATAATTGCATTGATTTTCAATAGGGGAGATTTCAGTTCAAAAAAATCAGAATACGTTACTATCTCCGTCCAATATTAATTGTCTTAATTTGGCTTTTTGATTTTTCAAAAGTTAATTTCAACGAAAATTTAACATAGTTTTCAGATGACAATTGAAAATATTATTTTACCAAATGAAACTACTCAACAAGGATTATATATAAGAAAAAAAAATTTCAACTATCATTCATATTATCTGAAATTAATATTGAAAAAGTCAAAAAGTTGAACTAAAACTACTAAAGTTGAATAGAGGGAATAATTTCCGGAACAAATGTGTTGTGAGTACTAACACAAAGTCTTGGGGTTTGCAATTAAGTAGTCACTCTCCACATTAATTGATTGAGGATTGTACTTTCGGCAACTCTAAGTGTGCTTCGAGTGTTTCTTGCTTGCTGCAGTATTCCTTAACAACTTGCTCATGTACATATGGTCCATTTTGTTCACCTGCAATTACAGTTGGTCCTAATTTAATCCTATTATTAAATTAATATGAATGTGAAAATAATCTAGCATGCATTCCTTTTCTACATTTTGTTTCAAATTATTTGCAGTACTTAATGATTATAATTGGCATGGTGCAGGTATTGAGCAGATACGCTTAAAAGCACAAAATTGGTGGTTATCCCCATCTGAAATATGTGAAATTCTTCGGAACTATATGAAATTCGGCATTACCTCAGAACCCTCTAATAAGCCACCAAGTACCATTCCCTCAACTCTAATTGCCATAATAAGCATAATTCCTTCTGCTAGATAAATGAAAATTGTTCTGATGGCATCCATAACTTGCATTTACTAAACCTTGTTTTTGTATGGCAGGGCATCTCTTTCATGATTAGATTTCCTCTGCAGTGTATTTTCTTTCAACCGTTTTGTTTTTTGGGCACCCCTGCAACTGGTCTAGATGTTCAGTAGTTAAATCTTTTTCCCTTTTCTTTAGTTGCACTGATCATTTACTGGGATCTATGTTCTTTCTTCATAGAATTTTTTTAATTTTACCCTTCTTCATTTGCTTTGTACACGACATTTTGGGAGTTGAATTTTTCTTCCGACATCATTCAAGTTCCATCAACAGAGATCATTTACTGCAATTAAACTCTATTTCTAACAAGAATGTTCTTACTTCATTTAATTTATTTATTTCTTCAGAACTATGCTTCTCTTATTTTCTACTAAATAAGAATACATTGGAAAAAAATCATGTCATTTGTTTGACCTCTAAAATTAATTAGCTTATTTGTTCCATGCCAATACCTCGCAGTAGATAAAGTCAATTCCTTTTATGTGTACCTGGAATCAGCTAGCTCTATTCTGTCCTCAACATTTGTGGCTTATTGATTACTAAAACGATTGTGGTTAAGGGTATTTGACATGCACACTGCCTTATAAATTTACTTGCCCTTCCTAAGCAAAAGCTGCACTTGCACATGCAGCCATCTTGAAGTTTGCTTTGAATCACACCTAGGTGTAACATATGTTTCTGTTTCAGGTGGTTCGCCTTTTCTTTTTGATAAGAAAGTGCAAAGGTACTTTAGAAATGATGGACATAATTGGACAAAGAAAAAGGATTGGAAAACATTATTGGAAGGTCATCAGACGCTCAAGGTAAGAGCCAAAGATGCTGGATTTGGTTTTATGTCTTCACACTGTCAAATACTTCTTTGGAAATGATTGCAACATGTAAGCAACACGGCCACATTCTGGTACTTTATCATTTTGTTATTCTGTTGAATTCTGATTCAAAAACATCTTTTTCGTGCTTCCAATCTATTATTTTGAACAATCGTAATTTCTTTCAGGATGGAAGCTTTGGTGATTTGAATTGCTACTATGCCCATGGGGAGGAGAATAGAAATTTTCAAAGACGTTGTTATTGGATGCTTAAAGGGTGAGTCTGTCAATTTCTTTTTGGTGAATGGATCAATAGAATTTTTCAATGCTTGAAGGGTGATGCTTAGTAACAGCAGTTGGTACTTTTAATTTTTTTATGCTTTATTGGTTTTTCTATTATGTGTCCTTTAAGAGGAATGATTGCATAATTTTGAAAGTTAACTTTTTTAAAAAAAAAAAAAAAGGAGCAAAGTAAAAATCATTAGTCAATCATTGGCAGTATTATGTGCCTTAAGGGCTAGAATAGAAAACTGTTCAGTTATTTGTTTTATTTTAAATCACATTCAGTTATTCAAAAAATGTTAGACCAATGAAACTATTTTTTATGTTATTTCATTAATAGTAATTTCGTAATTTCAGTACCTGGACTGCACTTTTTATTTGCAGTCTGATCTGTAAAACATGAATCTCAAAAGTAATTCTGTTATTAAAAATAAATGAATTTCGGGCCATTTTGTGAGACTGAGAAGTTTGGGTGTGTCATAATCCAATTTTAATTGGGGCTAAGTGAGAAAAGTAAAAGTTCATGGACCATTTCGCAAAAAGTGTAAAGCTTGAAGGGCTGAGATGAAGAACTAGCAAAACGACGTCGTTTTGCCTGTAAGCTGAAATAAAAACAAAGCCCAGGGTTCTGTCGAACCCTAACTTCCCAAAAATCTTGTTTCTTCCTTTTGCCGCCGATTATCTCTAAGATTTCACAAAATTCTTCTTATCCATTCCTTATCCATTCAAAGTTTGGATAGCCCACAACAACACAAGAAGAGATTTTCGGATTTGAAGTTCTTATCAAAAGTCGCAGAGGATTTTCGAAGTCAATTCCAATTTCAAATAGGATTAGATTATTATCTGTAATTTTGGGGATTGGGATTAGAATTGAGAGTTAGAAAAAGGGTTGGAGTACTCTCTATTTCTGTATAAATAGGGGGGCACCTTCGGCTTGCAGAGGGGAAGAAAAAGATCTGAGGGCGAAGAGGAGGAGAAGATTGGGAAAAAGAGGGATTCAAAAAATTGAGAGAAGAAGGGCAAATCTGAGGCTTGTAACCAGAACTTCAAGATAATAAAGCTTGAGTTTCCCTATTTTCTTCAGGTGTGCGTTATTATTATTTTTTGGTGTTTTCTGTCATGTTTTATCCTTCTTCTTCTTTTCTCTGTTATCAGTAAATTGCTTGTTTTTTTTTTTTTGGTTTCCTTTACGGTTTGCCTGCGATAAGTGTTTATGGGTTGGGTCCTGGCTGCAAGTCTGATTTCATTTGTTTCCACCCTCACATTGGTTCGTTTCTTGTAATCCAAAGTAATTGCTTGCCATTTTTTTTGTTAGTCTCGGAAAAACCTCAGCTTTGGTGTTTCTTCTATGGCATTTTTTTAGATTTGTTAATATTCAGAGATGTGCTTAGGGGTAGGAAGCGGCTTTAGGCATTAAAAAAAAAAAAAAAGTGCAGAAAAAGGAAAATGTAAGAATCCCGAAACAGGAATAAAAAAAAAGAGAACCAGAAACGAAAAAAGGAAAAGAAAAAAAAAAGCCAAAGGAAACGGGAACCTGGAAAGAGGTAGATGAACAGTATTTGTTTGACTTTTCTAAAGTGATTTTTTTTTTCTTTTTGGGGTAGCTATCATTGATGAATAAAAAAAAACAAAATGAATAAGGAATAACGAAACGGAAAAAGACAATAAAGGGATTTTGAAGTTTTTGTTTTTTTGTTTTCTTTTATTTTATTTTATGTTCTTGGGGTAATTATTATCATTTTGTTATATAAAATTGAAAAGTCTCCAAAATTAAAGTATGTGGTAACTATACTATTTGGAAGTTGTGGGGTGCCTAACACCTTCCCCATGCTTAACCGACCTTCCGGACCTAGTCAATTTCTGCGTAGACTTTGGTGATCTATCCCACCTCATTTGGATAGATGGCGACTCCATCCATTTTGGCACGTCAAGAGGGTGCTTTATTGATTAAAAAAAATAAAGGGCTTGTTAACCATCTTATCATCATATGAAAGTTAGAGTGCTAATTACACTTTTCTTATAGGACTTATGGTAGCGTAAGTGAAATTTCAGAAACTTGAATTTGTTCCAACAAAACAACATCCTTATACTATGATCAGATTCCCCAGCTTGTTTTCAAAAAAATGGGATTGAAGTGGAAGAATATTGGTTGGATTGTATGAACTTAGTGATTGCAAATTTCATATAGATTTTTTCAAACTCTCTTCTGTTTCTAACATAAATAACCATTACTGCAGGGACTTCTCCCACATTGTTTTTGTCCACTACCTGGAAGTAACGGTTAGAATTTATGATTTATCTATCACTCCTTTCTTTTTTTTTTCATTCAGCCTTCTTCCAAAGTGAACTTATGAAATTTATTTTCTACTTTTTACTTGAGATCATGTGGCTGAAGCAGTTTACAGCTTTCCAGAATAAAGTTATAAACTGCAAATTTTGAAGTTAAATTAAGCCAAATTTATAGGAGTATGCTGATAAACTATCAGGCTGTTTGATGTTGGGTCTAAATCTAAAGTCCACTATCCTTAACTCCATTACTTAATAGAGCCTTATCCTATTAGGGTATGTGGACTAATTTATTTCCTGGATTCTAACCAGGTATGTCTTTACACCCTTTTTCTTGGTCTTGGCGTTTTGTCTTTCAATTCTTCAATCCTTTTCCGTCCTCAGTTTCGTTTTTTATTTTTTCTTTTTTTTTGGTAGAAATGTCCTTAGTTTTATTTTCTTTGCTCTTTCCGGTGGCCTTAGCCCGAATCATCCCAGTGCTGGATGTTGAGTTGTCCTGTGAAAAGAATAGATGATTTCATGGGGGTGATAAAGATGTTGTAATTTGTCATTTGCCTGAATTATACAATGTTTTTCCTCTCCATTTTTTGCCTTGGTGCCTTTTTTTTCTTTGAAAGGAAGTAACCTTACTCATTAACAGCACAGCCTATGAGGACATCAAACTTACATCTAGAATCTTCAATGTCTTTGCTACTAGAGAAGCTAGTTATAGCACATATGTTAAGATACATTTCTGGGTGGTGGACTGGATGTTCACATAATAAAATTTGGATCCTATACTTTTTGTAATCTTTACCCTCGTCAATAAGATGCCTGAACAGTTTCATCATAGACCTCTAACCAGACAAGGGAAAAAGTGATAATGATGCTGAATTAGCTCATGACCCCTGGAGAAACTTTGATTCTGTGTCATGGAAAGATATCTTGGATAGTTGTACTGAGTCCATCGAGGATCAATCGTTGTTTTCCCCCTCATGTCCTGATATCATGGGTAAGTTTTTCAGCAACAGCATTGTTGAAAGGCTGGACTTTGGGGTGCATTCGCAGATTCAAAAAGAATATGAGGTACTGGCTGATTAACAAATAACAATGCTAAAGTTCTGGTTCATCATATCATAATATATATCTAGCATTTTGCTTCTAGTTTAATCATGTGGTTTAGTCTTTAATCTGAATTCCAAACAGGCTTCAGTTGAGGATTCTTCATCTTTATCTAAGCAGCCAATGGATCAGAAGTTATATTCAGACTCAGCATGTGATACAACTTCTAAATTTTATAAGGAAGAAGTTAATCACCTTGAATTAATGAATTCTATTTACCCTCAGCTGAAACGTCCAGATATAAGAAATGATGATTTAATGGAAAATTGCTTTCAGACACTGCTATCTAATGATGAATATGATTATGCTCTACAACCAAATCCAGATGGCTGCTTCAACTTGGAGGGAAAATCAATCCACTCTTCCGATACAGAGCTTTTGTTTGATGGTATTTCAACGGAAGAAGGTTCAAAGAAGATGTCCAGTTCTGGGGCCAATGGGGAAACAGGTGGGAATGAAAATGAGATTGATGTTTCGAGCATTCCCTCTGAAGGGATATTGGATATCCAAGATATAAATGATGCTGAAAACTATAGTGACAGGGCTGAAGCAAATCTTCTTCTGCGTTTTGATAAAATACTGTGTTCAGGCTCCAGTGCCACTAATCTTGTCACCAGCAGCTTAAAGGATGCATCACAGTTGAGTAGTGAAATCAGTTCATTGCAAAAAGGGGACAACAAAGAATTGGACCAGATGTTAAAGACTGGTTCAGGAACGGAATTTTTCTCAGAAAAATTTACGGACCAGCTGCTTCAGAAGCATCTGAAAGAGAAGTTGCGTGTATGGATCTTACAGAAGGATGCTGAAGGTGGTGATGGCCCTAGTATGTTGGATGAGGGTGGACAAGGTGTTCTACATTTGGAAGCTGCACTTGGCTATGATTGGGCTTTGGAGCCTAGTATAGTTGCAGGTGTAAGTGTTGATTTCCGTGATGTGAATGGATGGACTGCACTTCACTGGGCAGCATTTTGTGGCAGGTGAACACCTCTACATTTCTTTTGATTATTTCTTTAATGTGTACCATTTCCTCTGTTTGTTTATCTTTTCCCTTTGAGTATTTTGCTGTTGTCCACAAGAGAAGAGCCAAAGAAGACTCTAAAATAATGGCTTTATAGGTTAGCAAATACTCCATATTCCATAATGAGGAAAATATATCTTTCTTAACTTTCATATTCAAAAATATGTGAAAAATACCATGTCATCTGACATTTCATGCTTAGCCTATGTATTATTTTCTCTTCTGACCCATTCATCTTTTATGTGCTGCTTCTTTTAACATAAACTTCTTCGACTTCAGAGAGCACACGGTGGCTTCCCTCATTTCGTTAGGTGCAGCTACAAGAGCATTAACACATCCATCACCTAAATATGCCTCAGGCAGAACTCCTACTGATCTGGCGTCTGTCAATGGACATAAAGGAATTGCTGCATACCTTGCAGATCGCTCTTTGGATGTCCACATTCCGGCCATTAATTGGGATCACCAAGATGATGCTGCAGGACCAAAAGCAGTTCCGAAAATTTCAGAAATAAGTGCAGCACCACTTTGCTTAAGGAATGCATCAGATTGCCAGTCACGAAAGGACTTATCAGCCATCAGTTGTCGTTCTCTTGAACGTGGTTGGAAGTTTCTGAAGCATTTGAAGACAATCTCTACCCTTGAGGGACCCATACTTCCCACTCCCAGTGGTTTGTTTCTTTTAAATTTTAATTTCTCTCATTTAACCTTATTTTTTAAAAATTGAATTTAAGTAATTTTTAGCACATGCTTCCCTTTTTAAAATATATAATCCCATCCTGTAAAAACTTTTTTAGCTTCTCAACCTTTTTAGAAAAAATTTTTGTGTTAAACTTTTTATTATTGTTATTTTTGGTTTTCAAATTTTTTAATTAATGATTGTGTTAATTATGACAGATGAGACTGTAAAAATTAAAATCTTATTCATAAAAATAATTTATTTGTTAATTATTTTTTTGGATTCTGTTTTTATTTCCTTGTCTTTCTCATGAATTTGAATAATTCTGAAAAAAATGGTATGCTCCTTGTTAATTGTCATGGGCCACTCTGATGTTAGCAAACCTTATTCTTCAAGCAAGCGTGATGACTTTGATCCTTTTCTATACAGCCTCTTAATCCTAATAAACCTTTGTCATACATTCATGTTAAGTTGGCGTGACAGAGACTTGATTCCGAATCGATGGATGTCATGCCTTTTGTTTATTGCTTTTGGATTGGTTTTGCTAAAGAGTGGAAAAAAATTTTCACAATTTTATTTTTCTGATCTTCCTTTTTTTTGGTTTGCAGCTATGGAGATATTGCTTATAGGTCAGGGTGCAGTTGAAGCTGCAGCTATAACTACAGTTGGAGCTGGAGCTGGAGCTGGAGCTGTGGCTGCAGCTGCAGCTGAACGTGTAGCTGGAGCTAGAGCTGGAACCCTAGTTGGAGCTGTTGCTGGTAATAGAACTTAAACAGAGGTAATTGAGAATATCACTGAAATGGTTTTCTATATTTATCAAGCTGTGTGCAGTGCT